CACTTGGCAGGGTGAAGCAGTCCCTTTAGGGCAGGGACCTAGTTGCCAGGGTCTACAGGCAATACCTTTGCTTCTCTCCCTTTTACTTCCAAACGTCTGAACTTTCATCACTCACAACTTGATAACACAGCAAACAGTGAAATAGTCAGCGACTTGTTGTAGCAGCCTGGGTAAAGTATGTTAGGGGAAAGGCTGAGATCAGCGCGTCTGCTGTGTATTTTTCTGCTGCTCTTGATGTTGCCGTCTTCCTTCACTCCACCATATAATGGAAAGTGGGTTAAGCCCAGGTCTCTGCCGGGTGCTTCTTTGGTAGGTGCTATCAGGATGGCTCAGCACCAGTTTAACAGCCAATGCAGTTCCCAAGTTAGCACACTGAGCGGGCTCAAGGAGCTGCTGTGTCCTTCCTCTCTGTCATCTGGACAACTACTTGTGTGAGAAACTCTCACAGCAGCACTCAGATGGAGTTATTTGCACAAATATTGCACCCCAGGAGGGAAGAGGCGTCAGCTGCAGACTCTGACATCCCAAACAAGGACAGCTGTTCCCAGAGAATAAGAAAGGAGCAGGTGAGAAATCAGCAGGAGAGAGGTTGAGGTGTGTCACTTCAGGGACACTAGACTGCCCCCAAACACAGCGGCACCTTCCCTGTTACTCAGGAAGCCCCACACCCTGTCCAGAGTGACAAGGGCTGACACCTGGCGTGACAGTACTAACCACAGGATCTCCCCCAGTGCGCCCCACCACCACCAAGTTGATGACTTATTCCTGTGAGGAATCCGTCTCAACTCATGACCTCCCAGCAAGACCAGTAAAGCCAACTTCACAACCATGAAAATGCACATGGTTGTGCTGACTTTGTGGACCTTGGAAGCTTCCTTCATTTACTTCAGTGACACCCTTATTGTGGACAGTGCGTCCCTGTGTCCTCTGGGCTAGATAATTACCAAAGGTCATGCATGCTTTCCCATACTTTAGAGTCCAACTCTAGTGCCTGCCAAACAGCCCAGTATAATCAAATGAATATCAAGAAAAAAACCCTAGTTGCAGCCACTTCTAGCATCAACTTCTATCTAAACTTTGTTTCTTTCTATGATGCTGTGTGTGTTTATCTTTAATTTTCTGATGTTTTGACATCTTAAAAACCTTTCTGGCTGGAGAAAGGTGCTCTTCCTGAGCCAGCCCTGAGAGGCAGCTGTGGTCACAGCCGGGAGCACTCTGATATACAAGATCCATAGCCAGGCTCCTCCATCTGTCTTGCATACTCCAGGAGCCAATATTCCTCTGCCTTAATTATTGTAGGGCTCCACCAGGGAAACCAGGGACCATTCCTATAACTTAGAGCTCATGAAAATTGTTCAGACCAGCCTGTCCTAGCCTGCGCACCTGCCCCACCCCTGTCCGGGGCAAACCTCTATCAAGGCCTCCTTTTCCCCCTAGCTTCTGTCTCCAGTCAGGCTGAGGCTTCTTGTACCCACTCTTCTGTCACTAGGCACCATAAGTTTGATAAACTTCTCCTAGTCTTCTGCTGTGTTTCCTCTTGCATTTCCACCTGACTGATCATCACATTAAAAAAAAAAAAAAAAAAAAAAAACAGGAAAAATGGAGGGCAAGAGCCACATGGTCTGTGAGATTCCTTAAGGTCCTCAGATTCAGTGGTTCAATGCATAAAATAACAAGCATGCTAAATGTCCATTTCCCTGTCCTCACCCAACTGCCTCCTCCCCTTTCATCTTAGCTCAGGGACTCCCTCTCATAAATGCCCCCACTCCACTGGCTCCTGCATCTTGGTTCAGGAGATCCCTCTCTGTTCTCACGGAGCCCTGACATGCCAGCACTTCTCTTCCTGGAGTATACTTGTCTGGTAATTGATTTGTGGCTTCCTTGTTCTGCTGAAAATTCTGGGAGAACCACGGCCAACCTTTAGGGTTGTAACCTCAGCACTGATTTCTACAAGGACTCAAGGAGCTTTTTGAGTTGAAGATAAGAGTGAATGGGTTCTTTTAGCCACAGTCCCCTCTGGGCTCTGGACGGAAACTGTTCGTAGAGGACTCTTTGGTGGTCTTGCTGAAATAGTCCTTTTGTTCTTCAGCCTGCATTTAGAAATAGACTCTGGATATATGCCCCCTCCCCAGTATACACATAATGAATCTGATTACAGTCTTTTTTAAAAGGAAAAAGATGTCAGGGCCCTTTCCATTTCTATGATCTAAGAAACCCAGACTCATATCTGACTCAGTTCTCATTAATGAAACAGAAGAGTCTTTGGCTTTCATCTGAGTTCTTCAAATTAATCTAAGGCCTGATTATTCCAAGGCATTAATAATTGTACAGCAGCATCATTTATATCAGAGAGTGGAAATGACATACATATCCCATCATAGAGATGGTTAAATAAAATATGACATGCTTGACTGATGGGTTCTCCTGCAAGCTTCTGCTGGTGTCTACAATAAAATCTAAAGTTAAAGTCAAGACATAAAATCACATATGCAGTATGACTGTCATTATGCCGAATATATCAAACATAAGTATAAAAAACAGAAGAGACATCACTGAACATTAATAGTGGGCTGTGTTTATGTATTGACTGCATAGATTTTTTTTTTTTTACATCTCTGAATTTTTCAGTTTTCTCTGTAATGATTTACTCTCATGGTGAAAAAAATCAAAACCAACAAGTCATTTAATTGCTAATCAGAAACATCTTGTTGTTTGCTGCTCTAAAACTTTTAGCTATTGATCCTGGGTTTGTCTGCTGGAAGAGCTATCTTGGGGCACACAAGGAAGACCCAACAGTCAACCAACAGGAGCCTTGATGGAAAAGGAGTCCTCTAGCTTAGCAACTGCCTGTGTAGCATTCGTCACTGAGTCACGGTCTCTTCCTATATGACAGGCATTTTCTAAACACGTTTTTGGTACTGTTATGGTTTAGATCAACACTGCCCCCCAAAACCCTCATGTACTCATGGATGAGGCTTTTGGAAAGTGATTCAGTTGTGGCACCACGTAACTGACTTGTGGTTAGGGGGTCGGGTCTGGTTGAAGGAGTTGAGTCATTGGACGTGTGCCATGAAAAGGTCCCTCTCACTTTCTCTCCTTGATTCTCTGTGAGTAGTTTTCTTCCATCCAGTTCCTTTCACCAGCTGACAATGAAACCTCTAAAAACTGTGGCCCAAATATACCTCTCCTGAACTGCAAGTGTTGATTATTAAGATGCAGTTGTCTCGGCAACAAGAAAGTGACTAAGACAGATTTTAGCACCAGAGAAGGGAGTCATTGTTGTGACTCCATGACCATATGGTGCAGAAGCATTTGGAACTAGTTTGTAGGAGGAGTTTGGAAAGCTTTGAAAATACTAACAGAGGCCTAGTATGCTGTAAGCTGAGATACAGTCTGTGTAGAGCTTAAAAGACCAGGATGCTGACAAAAGGGCAGATGGTCAAGGCCAGGCCCAGGAGTTCCAGTTGGGAACCACTATAGTGGGACTTGGAATCATGTGAATTATGCTGTGGGAGAAAATCTGTCTATATTATGTGAGACTAAGATTAAGAGTAGCAGATTTATTAATCTGCAGAAAGAAATTTCAAGTCAGCCCAACATCAGGCTGTAGTCCAGGTGTTGTTTGAGGCTTTTGCCATCTCCACTTTGAGAATCAAGAGCAAAAGACATAGCTAAATGATTTTTAAAGTTATGAGCTTCACCAGAAAGGAAGTTCATGTAAAGTTGAGAGCTGCAAAGAGTGACAATAGGACAGATGCCTTCTAGGCATCTACAGAATCAGTAAGGCTCCACTCTTCACAAGCTCTTGCTAGGTGTTTCTACCGGCTGATCACCGTCTGAAATATCTCTTTTAATATGCAGGTTTTGTGTATTATGTGTTAACAACAAGGAAGTGACAAAGACAATTACATCTTCATAAAAGCTGTAGGAGATAAACATTTCTGTCACTCCCATTCAATTATAGATGAAACTGAGATGCAATTGGCTCATCTATTTGCTGGCAAGTAGGGGGGCAAAGGGCTTGATTCTGAGCAGTCCTCCTCCATGGTCCACCATTTTCTCACTACAGTCTACAGCTGCCTGCAGTGTGAAAGGAAGCTCAGTCAGATAAGCACATTTTAAGCCTTATATCCTCCCCATGAAAGGATCATAATGTTGGACAAAGGCATAGCCTGTTTTCCTTTTTCAGCCTCTACAGTCTGTACGTAAGTCCCCGCTTGACTCCAGTCTGTCTGTGATCGTCTCTAGTGACTACTCATCCTCATGCTATGCAAAGCTCTGACCAGAGTGTGATCCAAAAGTTATTTCCACGTCAATCCATTGTTCGGGGGCAATAAGCCCATTTGTAAAGTTGGGCAGTGTGCCCCATTTTGCAGATTCAGACCATTATACAGGGGCACAATATACACTAGATTCCAACTCACAAGAGACAATGTGATGTTCCCTACTTGCTGGGGCAATTATTGGGGAACTTTTTCATGTGCTTTTCACCTGCAGACACCAGCCACGTGAATATGTGTGACTGATCCCACGAGAGCACAGGTGCTCTGAGATTCCCTGTTCTTGGTGTCATTTTCTCTGCCCCATGACCTACTGTGTAACATGGCCAACCTGGGTGAAGGAGAGACAGAGGTCCAGAGAACAGGGCAGGACAACAGGAAGGAGTCAGTCCTGTTGAGACATAACACGTCCCTACAATAGAGCAGCCCAGGTAGCATGAATGGGAGAGGGAAAACACAGATTCTAGAAAATCTCCCGTGCTGGATTAGTTGGAAGGAAATGACACCGGGCTTAAGGAAAATCCATTAAAAATAAACCTTAATATCAAAACAAACTTGCCCATGGGGAGAACTTAATGAGCAAAGAGAAATTAATAAACAGAAGTAAATTGTAAAAATAAGACCCATCATTACTGTACATGCCTGAGGGTAGGGTGCTGGAGTACTGTGCTTCCTGCTCTTTGGTACTTGAGGGACAACTCATGACATCCAGAAACTTACTTTCTCTGGAACTGGACCACAGGATCAGCAAGCAGGTCAGTGACATCCAGCTTTCTCCCCTTCTCGATGACATCCGGATGCTTGCGCACCAACAGCCACCCAATGTGGGAGAAGAAGAAGCCTCGGCGGGCATTGTGGGGATCAGCGTCTGTCTCTGAGTACTTGTGGTGGGCTCGGTGGTCCCTGGCCCACTCAAAGATGTCATTCTGCAGAGAGAATACAGACCCTGAGTGAAGGGGCGGAATGGGTGCCTTCCGGAAAGCTCTCAGCTCCCAGCCCTGTGCCCACTGCTCATTTGTGCTTTCTTGTCTTCTCCCCAACAGTCCCATCATGCCGAGTCAAGCCCTGAGGGTAGAGGAGGGGTAGTTTCCATCAGAACAAGAGTGAATACTGAGCTGGGCATGGCAGTGTATTCTTAGAATCCCAGCACTCCGGGAGGGGCAGGAGCACCACAGGTTTGGTACTACCTAGGCAGCTTAGTGAGACTATGTCAAAATAAAGAGTGAGGGAGGTAGCTCAGTACAAAGGCCCTGGATTCAATCTCTAGTACTGCAAGAAAAGAGGAGAAAAGGGAAGGGGATGAGAGTAGGGAGAGGGGGAAAAGAGAATCCTTTCTTAGCAAAGGTCTTAGCCTATGTCTGGAATTTGTCACTGCTGGAGATCAAGTTTGTTGATGAATTACTGGGGAAACCTTTAAAAAAAAAAGCCCTGGAGGGACTACTGAAGCTTCCCAGAAGACCATTTAGGTCACTAAAACAGAGATCCAGTCCTAGGATGCAGTCTCAGAGGAGAGTTCTCAGAGGAGAGTGGCAGCCTCAGAGAGCAGGAGAGGTGCTGGTCCTTGGCTGGATCTTTCAGTCTCCCTACCTGCTTCATGTCCTTCACGTCCCACTCAGAGAGAGGAGGAAGTCAGTAAGTAAAAATTCCAAAGAGCTGTTTCTCCCAACATTTGCAAAACACCAACGCACACATGACATGGCTTCGGGACTATTCAAACAGTGTGTGCAGAGGGGACAGGGCCAGGTGTCTTTGGTTCCAGACTGCATTGAGAGTCATTGAGATCTCTTGGCAGAATCCACCAAGAGACCATGCACTTGCTCTGCCGAGGGAGCAGGGCAGCCCTCACTGGAACACCAGGATGGATTCTGGTGCCCAAGGAAGGAGAGGCATCAGATACAGCAGCATTTGCCAAACTCCCAGACCCAGCTGGGATTATGTGGGTGGGGGGCATACACGCTAATGACCTCCTGGGATGGGTATGGTGGGAATGTCAGTGCCTGTGCATCCGTGTGAGTGTGATAGGGCAAGAGTGGGAGGCACTTGGGTTGTTGTCACTAATGAGACCTTATCTTCAGCCATGTATGGGCCTGGAGATAGATATACAGACTGTCGACTTATACTCAATTTTCTGTTTTGTTTTGTTTTAGTCTGATAATGATTTAAATATTTGCAAAGCAAACAAGGTTGGGAAGTAGTGCTTTTGCAGAAAAATTAATCTGAAAATAAAATAATGTCGTGCATAAGCCTTTTCTTTTTATGATAATACCAGCCATGTTTTATACTATACTATTCATTACTTGGTAGTGTTCTTATCAGGAATCTTTCATTTCATAGATATCGGCTCCATTCTGCTGTTGAGAAGGGAAGAAATTGTTTCATTCCCAAAGTTCTAATAATTCCTTTAATCCAAAAATGATCTTCAATTTCTTTGGCTCACCCAAGGCTCGTGGAAGGTTGTTCAATCTCATACATCCCATAATACTATTGAAAAACTTTTATATTTGTTTATATTTTATATGTGAGTAGCAGGACCTACTACTGAGAGAGGCAGTAAAAAGTCCTTAAGAATTAGATGCACTGGATATGAAGAGAGAATAGGGGTATTCTCGGAGAGGTCATGAGAGTTTACCACTCTACTTAAACACAGTGATTGCAAAGACTGAAAACAGTATTTATAATCACAGAATTTGAAAGAAAGAATCTTCGATGTCTATCAAGCCTACTGCCTCCCAATAAAGAACGCATGCCATTTGCATTAGTGTATTGCTTTTTTTTTGCAGTGTCTCAGGGACCACGACACAGGAAGAAGTCACTGTTAAGCATTCACAGATGGGAAAATAAGGCTCAGAGGATATTTACTCAAACTCATCTAGTTTCTCAACAGTAATGAACAAAGACAGGACTCCTTTGCCTTTTGGTTTATATTCTGTGTCAACCAACTGGGTGTGGTGGGTATTATATCTTGGATCCTCAAAGCCTCATACAGTCATAGGTGAGGCTTTTTCAGAGCTGGCTGGATCTAGAGTGTGTGGTGCTGGGATAATTCATGGTGCAATGCCGGGATCAAGGGTGCCAGGATTAAGAGTGTGAGTGCCTCCCTGCCCTAAGTAGCCTGGATAAAGCATAAGGGACAGAAAGCACTGAGACCCTCCCATGTTGCTCTGCTGCTGTCTGTCCACCATGAACTTTCTCCTCTGCCATGCCACCCTGCCTGGGAGCCAGCTTACTGTGGATCAAAACCTCTACCAACTGTGAGCTAAATGAATCTTCCTCCTTTAATTTTGGGTGTTGGGTATTTTGTCTCAGTAAGAAGGTAACTGAAACAGTGGGGTAGGATGAGGCAGGAAGATCACAAGTTTAAGTTTATCCTGAGCAGTTAAGCAACTTAGTGTCTCAAAATAGTAAGTGGAAAAAGGGCTGGGAATGCAACTCAGCATGAAGGTCCTGGGTTCAATCCCTGGTGCCCCCAAAAAAGAATGTTTCCTATTGTTTGTCAGGCCCATGGGGGAAAATTCATTCTCAAAAAACTCACTTTTTGATTTTGGTATTCTGCTTTGCTTGATAGTACCAAGTTCGAAAGTATAGGCAACAACTGTGAAGACAATAAGATTCATTACGACGCCCATTCTGGTTGACTATTATCTTCTTTTAAAGTCCTGTAATGTCTCCAATGTTTTGGTTTTATTTTTTACTGTTTTGCTCAATTTTATTATAACTGATGATATAGGCAATTCTTTTTAAGATAGCAAGAGGCAGTATGGTAACCATTGTTGATCACCTAGTATTTTGTTTTTACATTATCTATTATGACCATCCTTTTGATTGACTGACTCTGTTCTGTTATGTCACATTTGGTTTTACACTCTTCAAAAAAAAAAGTAATAAGAACTGTGGGAGTAATAAAACCCAAAATGTATAATTGTCATTGTACAAAAGAAAGGAAAAGTGCTCAAAAGGATATAACTGCATATATATTTAAGTGTGTAAGATAGATAACCATATTACTGAGTTTTGTTGGATCCTTAAACAAAACTGTTTGCAGTCTCACTGTTTGAAAGTCCACTTTATATGCTTTAATTTTGTAACTTGAACAACTATTTCTAAGATAACAATATGTAATCTATTAACTAGTGATTTCTTACTGTTTATTCTTTCTGAAATTCTGTATAACTTGTACCCTTTTTCTGTTTTATTTTTTTCTCCTTAAAAAAATTTTTTTAAAAAGGTTATATCATCTCTTTCATTTAGAGTTGTGTAGTTTTTAAAGTACTGGATATTGAACCCAGAACCTCTATATTGTGCTGCATCTCCAGCTTTTTCAAATTGTACTATTGTTTTTGAAACAGGGTTCACTAAATAGTGCAAGTTGAGCTCCAACTTATGAGCCTTCTGCGTTAGCCTGCCAGAGTGCTAGGATTAAGCCTGCACGACTATGCCCAGTTAATGCCACCCAATTTTATAAAAATTCAAATTGGGGAGCTCCAAAGAGCTACACACATGAGTCCTACAAAATAAAAGAGTATTGCAGAAACAAAACTAAACCCACAAAAGACACCATAATGACAGCTGAAACAAAGATCTTTACCTTAATCCCTGTTACCCGGGTACCTTCCGGACAGAAGTCACTTAACTGTAACAGAAATGAAGCAAAGGCTCTGGCCATATTCCAAGTAATCAAGCACTCGAATGAGCCTCACATACTTTTGCTTTACTTGAGGCAGGCTTTCACTAAGTCAAGCCCCTACATTGCCCAAGCTGGACTCAGTGTGCTGGGATTCCAGCCAGGTACCATTATACTGGCTAGTTCACATTTTCTTAATTCTTCATTTTTGCTTTGTTTTTAATTGTAAAGTTGAGTCCTGTGAAAACCTGGCTCAGAGAACAAGAGGCAAATCAACAAGAAAGCAGAAATAGAGCAAGATTCATGTCTGTCCCTCCCACTTATCTGCACTTTGTTTCCACCTGAGTGACTGGCAATGGCAGAGTGGAGGAAAGAGCCTCTCTGTGAATGCTTTGATGATGCAGCCGGAGGTGTGGTACCCAGGCGTGCTGCATGGCAGTCAGTCTGTGCTGCGGAGAACAGCAAGAGGGACCGCAGACTGATGAGGAGGCAGAGACTGGCTCAGAACATGGGGTGCGGGGTGGGGAGGTGAACGGAGAGCCAGGGTCCTGAAGCTGTGGTCCCAGCGACACCCTGATACTCTTCCTCCTTTCCAGAGTCACATCCATCATCTTTGCTTCACAGAAAAGAATCACCTGAGGCACAGATGTGTGATGCATGCCCACCCGTGCACCAACTCTCCGTTGAGGGTTCTACCCACACAGGTACTGGGTACAGGTTGTGTTTGACAGGGGAGTGATGTCAAACTCAGCAGCAACTTCTTTCCTTTCCAGCCAGTCAACTAACAAATCATGAATTGTGCGAATTGGAGTTTACGCTTAAGGGTAGGTTCTGACAGACCACAGTGTTCACCCCATTGTCTGTCAGTGGATGCACCCTGATGGCTCTGAGCACGCTGGGCACAGCACAAACGCAGGAGCTGGGGGAGCAGAGCGTGCGGCCTGGTGGTGGGTTTTGTCTGTTGGAGGAGCATAGCATGGGCCTCCCTACAACAACCCACAGAGCTGGGAGGCAGATCACGTGGGCAATTAAAACTATGTAGCAGCCACATTTAAAGAATGAAGAGCAATTAGTAAAATTAATTTTTAAAATGTATTTCATGTAATGTAATAAATTCAAAACATCAGTTCAAAAAGCTACTAATGAGATACTTTACACTATTTTTTTCTGAACCAAGTGTTAGGAATTTGGTCTACATCTTTCATGTGTGGCATCTTTAGTCTGGTCTGCCCACAACATGTGACCACCACATTAGCTTGTGGGATCTAACTTGTGGACCGCCCTCTGCCCACATGTGGCTTCCAT